ATACAGAAGGCACACCTCGTTGAGAACTTGTCTCTCCCTTTTTAGGGAAGATGGCAGGTGAAACCACAAACTAAACTTGTAAGGGTTCAACTTGGACTAAATGAGTCATGAACTCTGTCTTTTCAGAGGCTGTCAGCTCCTTGTATCTGGAAACTAGTTGGTTGACTGTGGTTATTGTCCAAACTGTTTACACATATCCTGTTTTTTCTTTTTTTTTTCCTGCGGGAACATGGTATGACTGCACTTCCCTTGTCCTCTGAAGGTACGTCGGCTAAAGCATGATGTGGATGGGAGTGACGGATGCCACTTCCGGGAGGAGCATTTAGAGTAAGCAGCGCTCCGCATACTCTGCCCGGCCAGGGTGATTTGGGAAGCAGAGTCACTTCCTGAGTGACTGTATGACAGAGAAAGCAATCCGGGTTATATTAGGCACTGAGGTTTTTGGGGGGTGTTTTTGCCACACAGCACAACCTAGTCCATCCTGACTAATTCACCAGCTCACAGCCAGATACCCAGTGGGGAGCAACCTCAGGCTTGAATACATCCTCTGTGTTGTAGCCACTCCTGTGAAGCATCCACGGCAGACCAATGGCCTTACAATGTCCCCCTCTGTTTCTCAGGATAATTTTCAGATGGAGACAAGTGGAAGAGATTTCCCAGGGTCCAGAGAGTGAGCACTGGTGCTGGAATTCAGCCACAGTGAATCTGTCTCCTTCCAAAGCTTCTGCCCCACCGTGTGGTCTCCCTTCTAAGGGAGGGGGACCACCCTGGCTTCCTCTGAGAGTCCTGAGACCTGGGTGGAGCCCAGGCTCCTATCCGAGACCATCTCTGTGCCGTGAGCCTCAGCTGCCCACATCAGCAGTGGGAGCCCGCTGGGAGCTCGCACTTGGCAGGGTGGTGGGGGTGCCATCCCTGGGGGCAGGGTTCCACGAGGAGCTGGGCAATGTGGATTCACAGTGCCACAGGTGGAGGACTCCCATCCGTGGGCCACTCAAGCCCTGACCCAAAGCCACACCATCAGCACCAGCAGCATTATCTGCAGACTAGAAAAGCAATATCCACAGCTTGCAATCATTTCTCAAATGTATCTAAATGCTTCAGTGTTTACCAAAATACAAATTCATTTAAATGCATTATTAAGTTCCTAGTAGTTTTTATCATTGCCTATTTTCTCAATCAACAGATACTGAAAGTCTGATGAATATCGCAGAGGGACTCCTAGGGAACAAATTAAGTTGAAAAATGAGTCCTAGTTAGAAAGGTTAGAAGAGTTACTGCTGAGGGACCCGGGAAGGGGTGTGAGACCAGGGAGATGGAGTCTGGGCCTGGGGGAGCTTGAGGAAGGCCTGTTTCAGGGTGCGTGTGTGCAGGGAGCAGCAAGGAGGGAAAGGACAGGCAGGGAGATGGGAACAGAGGGAGGGCTGAGTGGGGAGGCAGAGGTGGGTGATGCTGGGGTCTGAGCAGAGGAGGTCTGATCCCCCCCCCATCAGTCTAGGCAGGAGGGGGTTGCCTGAGAGTGCCAAGGTATGAATGCTTTCAGGACTGCGTCTCAGTAGATCCAAGGGGGAGATGTGTGTTCTGGGGAGAAGATAATTAAGAAACAGCTTGCAGCAAAAGTAGACTGCAAAATAAAACGTGTCGGCCAGCAGACTCAGAAGCAGCATGGTTTATGGCCTGCCCTCTCGCCTCTGAAGCTCTAAGGTACATTTTGCAGGCCCCTCAGAGCCAGAGGTTTGGTACAAGTACCACTCAATGTCTCCGTGATGCCCAAGGGAGCATTTTTTAATCTATTAGAGATGAGAGGACCCGAAAACCATTTAAAACCACTTAGGTTGGAATGGGCAGGAGAATTTTGGAGTTGCTCACATGGCAGAGGGCTGTGTATCATCTGGGGCCATCCAGGCTTGGAAGGCACAAGATTATTTTCTGGGGAGAAAAAGAAATCAAGTTTTTAAATCCATCCTAGAAACGACTCAAGGGCTGTAGGATGGCAAGCCCCATGGTCCGCATGGTCCTAGTCCGGTGGGATCAATACCGAATGCTGGGGACGTCACACATCACCTTCTCAGTTGTGGCTGAAAGATGTGGCTTTGGAGAGCATCTATTTCCCGGGGAAGGCTTGATTTCCAGAGTAGCAGAGCAATACTTCATTTTCCTGACTTATTTCTGAGCCGATGTTATCCTTTGAGGGAAGATATTCTTCCCCATCTCCTTTTCTCTTAACATTTAAAATCTCCCAACGTTCCTCCAGCTTGAGGACCTAATGCGATTTTAATACAGCTATTATTAGTTTAGAAGCCCTTCAGCCCCTGACAAATGTCCGTAGCAGCAGCGACGATGTTCTGAGCTTGCTGTCAGGGCGGGAGACACATGGGGCAAAGATGACTCAAGAGCCCAGCGCTCCTGGAAGGGCTGCTGGGGCCAGCGGGGGTGGGGAGGGGTGGGGTGGGGAGGGACGGGAGAGCTTCTGTCTTCCCAGCCGCAGTGAAGCCGGACCTCATGACAGCACCTCGGGACCTCGGCCCCTCCATCCCCCGGGCACGCTGGGCACCTTGCCTACAGCCCCTCCCAGGCAGGCTTGTCTCCTGGGGACCGCTCCCCCTGGAAGCTTGGATATTGGAGAAGCTTGGAGGGACCTTGGACCCTCCTCCCAGGGTCTTGGATATTACTAGACATCCAGACCACATTTTCCAGTCTCTGACACCCTTCCCCACACCTTCCTCTAAGTCACATGACCAGCCACCTGCTTTATGAACCAGAGATAGACAGTTTTGTCGGTGGTTACTATGGAATCTTTAGGACTCTAACAAGAGATATGTTTTTTAAGGTCAAAACACAACAGTGGGGGTGGAACAAGCCTACGATGTGTGCGTGTGTGGTCACTCTCCTTCAGGCTGTGGAGCTGAGCTGGGCAAGTGTGAAGGGTGAGGCTTTGCCCAGCAGAGGGCAGCAGCAGATGGGCCAGAACCACCCAGAGAGGAGGCACTCGGATCAGCAAGCTCCTTGGCCCAGCGACTAGCGGCCCTTCTCCAACGGCTCAGAGCTGGGACAGTGGCTAAAGGGCCGGTGAGGCGCACTGCTGAGGAACGGGGTGCCCGGCTCAATTCACAGGGGAAGGACCTCAAAACCAGAAACGGGGGCCAGCTGAGGAGGTGGGGTGGGGGTGCTGAAGGGTCTGGCTGAGCAGAGTGGAAGCGTCTTCAGCATCTACACCCCACTGGCTCCTTCCCCTGGGATGGGTGGACCCCACGCCCCCTATATCTGCCAGCCGGGCCGGCCTCCCCCACCTGCTCCCTGAACAAGCTGGTGCCTGATGCTCATAAAGTTGATTGCTCTTCCCTGGTGGCTGCTGATGAAAAAGACAGCAACCACGTGGGGAGGACGTCTTAGGCACTGTGCTTGGAGCTGGAGGATGCAGGAGCAGGCTGTCGACCACAGCGGGTGTGGGGGGGCTCAGCCTGGCCTGCCGCCCCCAGGAAGTCCTGGGGCAGAGCACTGGGAGGACCCCCAGGGGCTGCAGCCCCTTTGCAGAAGAGGGGTTTCTCAGATCCCTGATAAGAAGCTGACTTTGTAGGGGCACGAGGGGGCGAAGGTGCCTGGACATGGTGCAGTGGGGCCCAGAGCCCTGGGTCTGCCTAGACTGCCCGCCCCTTCCCCTCCGTGCCTCAGTCTCCCTCACTGGACTGAGCTGCTGAGCCAGCCCTGTTCTCACCCTCCGGTGGGGCAGCCGGTGTTCAGTTCAGCTGGTCAGTGTGTGTGTGTGTGTGTGTGTGTGTGTGTGTGTAACGGAGGCAGGGAGGGTGGGGGCTGGCTGAGATGTTACCAGACTGAAAGCAGGGTCCTCCCCCTGCCCCCAGCCCCATCGGATCCTCGTCTAAACAAAGCATTGAACACTATTTAGGAACAACTGGGAAAACTGGAATGCGGCCTGTATGCAGCCGTCCATGGGGAGCCAATAATATCGTCAGTGGGATAAAGCGCTGGGGTTACATAAGGACCTGAACTGAGGTGCTTTGACGGGAAATGCTGTGACGTCCACAGATTACTTCAAAATACCTTAGCCTTAGTGAATACAATGAAGCAAATGTGGCAAAATTTAGACAAATGGTAAATCCAGCCGCAGAACACGCAAATGTTCATCGTGTCATTCCTTCTATTTTTTTCTTGTAGGCTTAAAGTTTTTCATAGTAAAAAGGCTAAAAAATAAACCAGTAGCTCTTAAAAACCATAGAAGCCTGACTCTTGCCTGGTGGGATCCAAATCTCCTGGGAGGGGCCCGCCCTGGATATTTTCAAGGGCCCCAGAGAGCCTGAGGACCAAGGCAGGCTCAGGTTCAAGTCTCAAGTTCCCTGGGGGTGGCCCCAGGAGAGCCCAGGGGGAAGGGGCCCCTAAAGACTGCCCCTGCCCGGGGCGGGGGGGCCCTGGCAGTGACACACCTCTGTGGCCGTGTCCACCCCCACGCCCGCTCCGCAGAGGCCCGCGCCACGGCCCTGGCCCCGGCCCCAAAGATGCTGATGTCATCCAGTCCCAGGGCCCCTCCCAGCTACTGGGACAATATGTGCCGTTCGTTCCCGGGGCCCTTGCTGCCCAAAGCTCCCGGGACAGCTGCCCAGCATGAAGGGTTAAACCCAGCGAGGGCTGGGAGACTGGCTCCAGCCCCTGCACCTGCCCTCACAGCGTCCCTGAAGCCCCGCCCTGCCACCTTCACGCAGGAGCCCAGATTCCAGAACAACATGGGGGGGAGGGAGACTCCTGGGGGAGGGGAGGGCAAGCGGAGAGGAGCCAGTGACAGGATTTCTGTGCTGCTGAGCTGTGCCAACAGCCCCCAGGCCCCCAACACGGACGCACACGGACACACTGGTGGCCCCTCGGGGTCAGTGGGGCTGACCTCTAGTCGGGGGGTCCACCCCTGAGTCCCACGGTGTGAACAGGCCTCTCTTCCGGCCCTGGCACCATCGGGGCCCTCCCTGCCCACGCTTATTCCCCATGGCAGCACTCACTGTAGCCGCACTCTGGGCGGGAGAGAGGGGTCCAGCGGAGAGCGGTCTTCCCGGTCAGTGACCTCCAACCGTTGCGCTGGGCAAAGGCCCTTCCCAGTGCCCCAGTAAGGAGAAGCCAGCGTCCACGATAGCGCTGGTGGAGAGGTCTGCCCAGACGCAGGTCTGCCCGCGGGGCTGGACTACAGAGGCCTGGGGCGGGGGGTCACCTGACCCTCGAGGAGGGCCAGCGGGCGCTGGCTGGCGTGGGCAGCTGTCAGCTGGTGTCGGGCTGCTCTGGGGCAGCGCCAGAGGGCCTGGGAGGGAGGGGAGGAAGGGGAGGAGGGGTCCGGAGGGGTGTCAGGCCCTGGGCACCGAGGGGCAAGTGCCTCAGGCCCCTGGTTAGCTTTCGGTTCCCTGTTTACAGGGTCAGGCTGGCGTGGGGGTCGTGTTCTCCCTTCCCCCGGTCTCCCCGCCTCCAGCCCACTCCCGACAGCATCACTGCCAGTTTGCCCCGAGCAGTGGCTGCCAGAGAGAAGGACAGTCTTGGGCAAGACATTCAATCCACAGTCAGCTTGGGGACAAGCAGTGCTTCAGGTGTTTTCGAGGCCCTCGTGGGTCCTGGGTACTCCGCTAGGCTGAGCCAGGAACCCGCCAGGACAGGGCCTGTTGTCAGGGGATTAGTCAGGGGTTCGGTGAGTCACAGGGCAGTTCCAGGGTGGGTGTTTGGGGAGAGGACAGGGGCGTGGTGTGTGTGTGTGTTGGGGGGGGTGGTGCGTGCGTGCCATCACCAGGCTGGGGGAAACAGGGAAGGTATCCTGGAGGAGGCGACCCGGAGGAGGAGGAGGGTCATCGGGTTTGGTGTGGGAGAGCGTGGCAAGGGGAGTGCTCAGAGGGGCGGGCGTGAGGGTGGGGAAGGATGCCCTACGGTCCTCTGTCCTCAGCGTCTCCGGAGGCTCCCAAGGGCGTCCTGCGGAGAGAGCCGGGCGCCGCTGTGTGTGCAGAGGTCTCGCTCTGGCCTGCTCTGGGGGGGCCTGGGTCGCGGGCAGACAGGCGGGTGTTGAGCCGCAGCTGCTGTCCTCCANGAGGCTTCCTTGGTCCCTGTCCACTCAGGGCCTGCCGCAGCCACTCTGGGGCCTGGCACAGAATGTGCTGCTGGACAGATGTGTTACCAGCAGAAAGAGGAGGCTGGGGACCCCTGCCCACCAGCCCAGCCCAGCCCAGCTGCCCTTCCTGCCAATGAACTCTTTTCCAGGTCCCCGCCGCGGGTCCTCCCCTTCCCCAGACAGGGCTTCCTGGGGTGCCCTGAGGCCTGGTTTAAAGTGGAGTGAGGATCCCAGGCACCCCCGTCCTTTGCTCCCCAGCCCCAGCTGGCGAATTGCATTTCAGCAGGGAAAGCAGGTCCAGCTAAAAGGCTGGGTCTGGTTACCTGGCCATGACCTTCCTTCCCAACCACCCTCCCTCATCCCCCTGTCCTTCTTGGCTGGGCTCAGATCCCTGTTTGGGAACCTCACAGCCAACACAGGCTGAGCAGTGGGGCCCCTAGAGGGGAGGGCCCACGGTGGCCCTGAGCGGCCGATTCCGGGGGAACCCAGGGCCTCGGGAGGGTCAGTTCACCTTCCAGTGGTTTCTGTCTTTGCTTTGTTGTTGCAAAGAGCAAGATGCCACACTGACTTCTCATTCACTCATGAATTGAACAATGTTTTTGAGCACCTAGGATGTGACCTGAGGCACAGCAGTAAGCGAAAGCACCCGTGATGTGGTCCTTTCTGTTACGCAATCAGAGGCCGCTCTATTTCAGTTTCCTGGGTGCAGCCAAGTTCTCTCCGTGGTCACTTTCCCGAAGCTTGTCCTCGCCTGCAAGATGCCTGCTCCCCGCCTCTTTCCCCAGCCACGTCCGGGACCCTGTAACGCTGGGCCTGGTTGCTGTCTCTCCTCCAGGAAATCGGCCCTGACCAGCACCCGGGCTCTTCTCTGCACCCAACATTCCAGACTAGCTCTCAGCGGCCACCATGTGGAGGCAGAGAGTGCCCGGGTTCATAAGCACGCTCTGGGCTTCCTGGTGGCTCAGATGGTAAGAAGTCTCCCTGTAGTGCAGGAGATCCGGATTCCATCCCTGGGTCGTGAAGGTCCCCTGGAGAAGGGAAATACTCCAGTATTCTCGCCTGGAGAATCCCGTGGACAGAGGAGCCTGGCAGGCTACAGTCCCTGGGATGGCAAAGAGTCAGACACAACTGAACGACTAACACTACTGCCATAGGCACACTCCAACTGTCTGGGGCCCACCCTCAAGTCAAACGGGTGGGCTGGTCCCACCCTGGCTTGCTCCCCCTTCGCCCGTCTGTCCACAGCCTCCCCTGACCTTTTCAGGACTCCCCTCCCCTGTCTTTTCCCTGCTGCCTGGCCCAGCAGTTCATCCAGCTCCACATCTTGTGGATTTCAAGTCCCAGGCTGGTCCCCTCTGCTTCATCTCCACGGCCAACACCCTGCTGCTTCCCGCATGATGGTTCTATAGCTCCTCATGCTGTCCTCCCTCCAGCCATTCTCCCCAGACTGACAATTTAGAACAGTTTGGGTCACGTTATGTACCTGCTTAATACTCTTCCGTGACTCCTGGTCCTAAGAACAAAGTCCAAGTGTCTCCCTGGGGCCCAGCTCCCCAGCCCCAGTTCAACTCTGTGGTCCAGCCACACCTTGCATGGGGCCTTGGCACGAGCTGTTCCTTCAGCCTGGGGTGCCCTTCCCTCATCTCTCTGCCTAGTTAACTCCTCTTTATCCTTCAGAGATCAGCTTAAACATCACCTCCACCAAGGAGCCCTCCCTGACTTCTCTGACGTGGGCTGCCACTCAGTTCCTTTCGTACCTGCGTGATTATTTGCTCCTGCATGTTCTCTTTCCTCGAGGACGGTGACCTGGCTCATTTTGTTTGACAGTATGTCCCCAGCATGTAGCTCAGTGCCAGTTTCCCAGTATACATGTTTGATGAATGAGTGAATGGGTGGACTCATTCTGGGTCTCTTAATTCCCCTCCCAGCCTCTTCCTCTCTCAGCTCTGGCTCACAGCTGGGGGTGTGTGGAGTCGTGAGCCTTCAGGGATTCCCTCTCCTTTTCCTGGCCCTGGGCACGGGGTCCTCAGCCTGGTCATTGTGACAGCCCTCCTTAGCAGCTCCCCTTCTGACCCAGTTTTCTTTCTCTGGAGACAACGGCCCTCAGTGTTCCAGGACGTGTCATCACCCCTCCCATGGGGTAAACATCACAGTGCCACGGATCCTGCCAACCCGCCCAGTTTCCAGAAAAATCCCCTCCACCCCTCCGTCATGGGCCCCAGCTGGGTATCCCACCCTCTGCTTCCTTCCCTTCCCCGTCCCTGGTGGTGTGGGGTCCTCCAGGACAAGTGTGCAGGCTGCGTCCTCCAACACTCCCCCTCTGTGTGAGGAGCCCCATTTTACAGGCAGGAACATCGAGGCCCAGAGAGGAAGCACCTCGGTCCTGTGAGCTCCTCCACGGTCTCTCTGTCTCCCTCTTTCTCTTCCTGTCAGTTAGGGCCTGGGCTGTCTTAGCTTTAGATTCACCCCCTCGTTTTTTTTTTTCTTTGCTGTGCTGTGGGCTTGCAGGATCTTAGTTCCCCGACCAGGGATTGAACCTGGGCCCTGCAGTGAAAGGGTGGTGTCCTAGCTCCTGAATCATGAGGGAATTCCCAGTCTTAGCTCTTTCTGCCTCAGGTTTTTCTTTCTTCCCTCACATTCCCTCATTCCCTTTTCTGTTTCTGCTGATACTTTTTGTTCTCATTCTGCTGTGTTCAGGCCGTATGTGGGTTTACATGTGTGTGTGTGTGTGCGTGTATCTGTGTGTATGTGTGAGTACAAGTGTGTGAATGTGCACGTTGACGGGAGCAGGTGTGATCCAGGTGTGGGTGTGTGAGCAAGTTGAGTGGGGGGCAGTCTGGGCTCAACAGGAATGTCCTGATTAGTGGGCCTTTGGGATCAGGTTCTCTGCGGAGGCAGGGGAATGGATTTTGCCCAGAGACTTGGACCCCAAGGGACCCCACATAGGCCCCGGGAGCCCCAGAGGGCACCACAGAGGAAGGCCCCGGGCACAGCGGCCCTTTGAGGCTGGTGTGTGGCTCTCGCTTGCCCGCTCCCCCCAGGTCTCCCAGACTCTCCCCTAGCCGCCCAAGCCCTCTGCTATTTGGCCGTCTTGGCCATCAGCTGCCACCCTCTCCCTAGAAAGCCAAGGATGGACCGTGTGCCGAAAGATGGCGCTGGTCGCTGGCAGCTTCTCACGGTCTTGGGAAGCTGGGCAGCTGGCAACTGCCCCCGAATTGGGTCTGCACTGGCCTGACCGCCTCGCTTCCCACTCTGACCCCACCTGGGAGGGAACTTGTAGCCTGGATCCTATCCCAGACTTGGCATCACAGGCGGCCTGCGCTTCGCTGGGATCCCAAACGGCTGATGAGCTATGACCTCTGGGGCTGCCGGTGCCATGACTGACCTTCCTCAGCCTCCACCCACCCCCCAACCCAGGGAACCTGAAACTTTGAGGAGACTGCATTCAGCAGGGCAGGGGCCAAACCCTCTGTCAGCCGGCGGGGCTCTGCTGACAAGGATGCTGCAGGGATGTCGCCCACTAGCCCCGGGAGGAGCGTCAGGGGGAGGCGAGAGCTTGGGGTCAGGGGCGGGGGACATGCTAGGGAGCCCCCAGCGTGGCCACCCCCCGCAGCAAGCTGTCGGGGGCACCTGCTGTTCACACGCACACATTCCCTCATCTGACCCTCACATCCAGGGCAGGGTTGGGGCCATTATACCCTCGGTCACAGCTGAGAGACAGAGGCCCAGAGAGGCTGCGTGAGCTGGTAGAGCTGGGGTTTGCCCACGGGGCCCCGCTGGCAGCCGCTAGCTTATTTACCAGTCAGCCCCACGGTCACACCCGGTGGGCAAGGATACCCCCCATCGAGGAGGGGCCAGATGCCCGAGTGACCCCCCACTCCCCCAGGCCAGCCCGGGGCCGGGTCTGGGCTGGGGAGGAGGCAGGAGGGATGTGTGGCTGGGTCCCCACACGGGGACACAGGCAGGGCACGCGGCACGGGGCTGGTTTCTGAAGGAGTCTTTGGGCCTAGAAAAAAGAACAACAGTCTCAAAGGCCCCTTGCTGAATCATCTAACTTCGGAGAAAACAAAACAGAACTTTAGT